AAAACCTTACTCCCCTCCAACAGATTTTTCAATGAAAATCGGATGAAAAATCGTAATGCGGCCTCGAATTTTTAAGAAATAATCCTGATAATTTAATTCTTTGAGTAATTGTATTAGTGGACTCTCGAGTTTTAACCAACTGTTACGTCACGTGGAAAAATATTAAATTACATGGGTGATTAACGAATTTTGCTCGCTTCTAATGAAACATTTAACTCGTTTAATGACGCATCAGTATGGAGATAAAAATAGAGGAAATGTCGGAAAATGTTTTAGTCCAGCTTGCGGGTGGACCGTTAGGCGGAAAAAATATTAAACACTGGACAATGGAAAGCCACGAGCATTGTGTTACCGGTACCAGTGGTTTGAATTAATTTGCCGGCTGCCATCTCCAATTTAATGAATTCTCATCGCTTTCTCATTCACATTTTGCGCACTATAAAACCCCATCAAACACTCCATTATTCCAGTTCAGGGATGCGAAATTTCGTGATTTTTAAACAATGATTTGTTAATTATTTCAAAATTATGGATTTCAGTAAAATTAAAATGAGAATATCCATCTTTGGGGTTCACTGCGGTTTACGAATTGATAATTAATGCAACCAACACAAAGAACTTTTTGAAAATTACCAGAAAATGACATCCCTGTCCCAGTTATCCTCACATTCCCCTGAAAAAATTAATATTTTTTTATTGATTTTACAGTTATAGAAAACGGAAATAACCGGCGTGACAGCTCAGTCTGATTTTATCTCGATCTCCAACTGGAAAATGTGATGCGGCCACATTTAGTAATTATTACCCATATATTTTCCTTTTTCGAGTTTTTGTTTTACAAATTTCTGATAACCGCTTGATAAAATATTGATTTAAATTTTTATTATCGTTCAATGTGTCACGAACTTTTATCACTGTGGAATAATTATCCTACGTCCTCAGTAAACTTTTGCAAAAATTTTCCTTGGAACAATATAATAAATCTGGGCCCAATAAATATTCAGCCAAACGCCATCAGGTAAAATAAATAAATAAATGAGTGGAACGAATTGGCAGTCAATATTTTTAGGTGCAATTTTTTATTGTAACGATTGAGAGGTGAACAGCTTGGTTGGCTTCATGTTCCACTTATGGAAGAATAATAGTAATAATAGAATGATAGATAGTTTTTTCACCGAGAAAAATGAGGGTCTGTGTGAAATAAAAAAATGCCTTTTATATACTCATCGCTCATAGCTCTGATAAAGTCGTTTCTCGTGTTGGTTTTTTTTTTCTCCCGCAGTTTCATTTCTATTTCCTGTTTTTTCCTTTTGTTCATGAGTCAAGAAACTTAGTAAACAGTAAACAGAATTATTCCTTCTCGCAACTGAGATGGGAACGAAGAAATTTTTTTTTGCGTTATGATGAAGAGGTGACAGTGATGTTTGAAATATTGCGCGCAAAGGATTTCAATGGCATTTAGATAAATGGAAACGGTGATAACAGAGTCTATTCGTGGGATTCTGGAAATCGCGGGGAATTTTGAACTTGAGCTCCTTTTCAGAAAGTCTGGACGAATTTTTGGTGATAAAGAATCGGGGAAATCATCTGGAATTCTGGGAATAATAGCCGAACCGTCGATCCTTTTCGACATTTTTATCCTTAAATATTATATGATTTCTTGTTATATAAATGCCGTATGTTCAAATATGAAATCGAAATTGGAAGTCTTTCATCTGTTCTTCAATAATCTTAAATAAAATAATTCGAAAAGTTCTCCTTCAATATTTAATTTTTTCATGAATAATCACGTAATCCTCTGGAATTCCCTAGAGATCCTTTATGCCATTTAATCCCTAGAACGGAGTGGGTGTCTCATGCGTTGTAAACGGAATCATTTCAAATGGACTTGACATTTCTCGTATCAGCCGATCAACTCTTCATCGGACAATTCACTCCCACGTTACAGATCCGTTAAAAAAATTGTGAAAAAAAAAGAATAGGGTAGAATTGTCAACGCGAATCCATCAAAAAGCATTCCTCACTGTCGGGGTGATTGAAATTTTTTCCATTTTGAATAAAAAAAAAAAATAGAGTGTGAGGGAACAAATAAAATGGAAAAGTTATAGATACGAGGGGATGAAAAGAGACTCCGGTGAATAAAAAAAAGGAAAAAAAAAGTCCGACGATTTAGGATGGACGACAGGTCGCTGGGGACGGCTGTAAATCATGTGGAAATTCAAAGCCACATAAATCAATGCCCGGGGCTATGGCATGTTTATTCTCGGTGCATAGAGAGACTTCATAAACTTCCTCCCAGCATATTTCATTTGAAAAATGCACTGCGTATTTTTATCGTCGTTTAATCAATCGTTCGTTTTATTTTTTATTTCACTTTCATTGAAAGTTTGAGATGTTCCAACAGTAATTGATATTGTTATGGAATTATTGGCTGTTGAAATAAATCCCGGGAAAAATGTGATTCGGATTAAATCCAGGATAAAGAGAAAAAGAATTAAATGTGATTGAATCGAGGGTCTGATTGAAATATTTGAAGAGAACCCGCATATCTTTGCAATCCACTCAGGAAAATTTCGGTGAAGCGAATGGGAAAAACCGATGAGAAATACAGAAAAGAACTGATTTCTTCAGGTACTCCGGATGCGTCCTCCAGAATTTTTCGTCCCTCTTGGGGAAAAGAAAAAGAAAAAGAGCCAAAGTACGTCGGACAACCGCGGGCGACAAAGATCCCGTGAATCCGTTCGTTTTCCTCTTGTTCAACTATCAAAGAACTTTATCTAAGCTTTTCTACATTTCCCTCTCCTTTTTTTCCTATCCCTTTCATCTCTCGTCTTATCCTTCTCACATTTTCCTCTTTTCTAGTTCTTCAGATGTCACTGATAGATTTTCTCTGAAAGCTCCTGAGTTTATTCTGAACTCGACAAAAATCACGGGCGGCCAAAAGAAAATATATTGCGGAATATTCAGTAGTTGAGATGTGAACACAAAATTAAGGGGAAGATTTCGTTGTTGGTGTTTTAATAATCGTAATGCGAGGCATGAATATTTATCGATAAATGGAGCGAAATTTTGAAGGTACAGTCTGGTGCGTGAAGGAAACATTTTTTATCGTATTTAAATTGCGCTGAAATTTCAAGAAATTTTTTTTACCAAATTTTTTTTTTTCAAAATCAAAATTTAATGAATTTTTTTTTGGTTTTGAAAATTCTTGAGAAATTTTTTACCGCGAGAAATATCAATTCAATAATTGCTACTTATCAATTTTTTTTTTCAAAATCAAAATTCAATAAAATTTTTTTTGGTTTTGAAAATTCTTGAGAAATTTTTTTACCGCGAGAAATATCAATTCAATAATTGCTACTTATCAATTTTTTTTTCAAAATCAAAATTCAATGAATTTTTTTTTGGTTTTGAAAATTCTTGAGAAAATTTTTTACCGCGAGAAATATCAATTAAATCATTGCTACTTATCAATTTTTTTTTTCAAAATCAAAATTCAATGAAATTCCCTCGGTTCATTGAATCCGAATTAATTTAAATTCAATTAGAAAGTACCAAAAACCACAACTTAAATTATAGAACATACAAAACATTCACATTCCCTTGGAATATTCAAATGGTTATAAAAAGAAATTCATAAAAATGTTTTCCCGTGAAAATCCGTGTGAACGCAATCGCAATTAACAAGAGTACCAAGAGTATTAAGTTAATTCCTCCCAAGCCGGAGATTTCCTCCCTAATATCATTTTGATACTTTAAATCGTTGATTTAAAGGTGATTAAAACATTAATGATATCTAAACGAATTTATCTATCCAGGAACGCGCCCTGGTATTCCTCCTCCGTAATCATTACATCCAAACATTCCGATGGCTCATCAATCTCCCACCCCAAATCCACCAAAAACCCCTAAAAACCCTCCAATAACTACTTACAGCAAATGATCGTGTGTAATTAGCGTGCCTGCAGCTTGGAATGATCAATC